TCCTTCACACGGACGAAAGAGGGAGTGCTCAAAGAGCGGCTCCCACAGCAAGGAGGGGCCCCGTGAATCATCGCGGTGCCCCCTATCAAACGGTTATCTTACCAGTCTGCGTGACACAAAATCATCCAGCACATGTATCCAACAGCAATGTTCGCAGACTCACGAACACCATCATCTTAGCATGGGCGGCTGGAGGAGGATGGTTGGCATCCTGCTACTCTATCTGCCGTCACTACGATGCTCTCTTTCTTGTCCCCGCGGTTCTCGAGGGAACTACTACTGTACTCTGTATCTGCATTTTTTTCCGAAACTACATCTTACTGAGGCCGCGAGCACGTCACTAACACCAGTATTTTTGCTCCAGCCGATGGATGGAACGAGATGGTGTTAATTGCGACCGGTGTTGGCGCGTGTGCTCGCGCGCCAAAGTAGTGTGGTGGAGAGGCAACCACCCCTCCTTTCTGAAAGAGGCGTTTTAAATTTATCGAAATTTCCTGCGGACCGGGATGGTGTGTCATGTACGTACAAAGATACCGTCGGCCCGTACCGTGCAAGTCACCCCCTTATGTTGCATGGCGGAGGATATTATGGATATTGGTGGTGTAGAGGCTGTGTCGTCGACGTTAGTCGAGGTGATGACACGTGCAAGAGGGTAGCGTGGAAGACGAGAGTCCTTCCACGGAGTGAAGATGTCGAGATACTGGAACACTGGGGCTTAGTTGGCCAATACAATCCGGAAGGATCACACGAGAGATTGAGCTACTCGGCTACCAAGCACCACCCAGCCACGCAGAAAATCCTGCGAGAGTAATTCCTCCGCATACACATACGTGCGTTACATTCAAGCCGACATTCAAACCGACACATGTGAGATCTACGACATACAAGAGCAGTGCTACTGAATACTGACTAATACTGGCTATGTGCTAACATTTCCATAACGGAAGTGTTATATACGACACCGGTGTCGTACTTCCTTATATACGACACCTACCATTTCTTGGCCCACAGGGCTCCAATCGGCGTACAACAAAATGCGCTGTGTAGCCACGGCCCGCAGCTATCAGCCCATACCATTTTGGGTCGAATCGGCCAAGTGGTTGAAGAGATATCTTAGAAAAAGGGGGCTCAGCAGCGCTATCAGCCCATACCATTTTGGGTCAAATCGGCCAAGTGGTTGAAGAGATATCTTAGAAAAAGGGGGCTCAGCAGCATCGCAGGGTTAGGTTCTACCACAAATACGACTGTAACTCCGCCCCCAGAGCTCCAATCGGCGTACAACAAAATGCGCTGTGTAGCCACGGCCCGCAGCTATCAGCCCATACCATTTTGGGTCAAATCGGCCAAGTGGTTGCGGAGAAAGAGCCGAAAATAGGGGGCTCCGCAACTTACCGGGGGGGTGTCAGCGACGTTCCGGTCATAACTCCTTGCACAGACAGACATCGCCTGATCGCACGTAAACTCGCGATGAGTAGGTACAGGCCAGAGCTATCGTTCAAGCCGCTGTGGGGCCCCCTTTTTCTAAGATATCTCTTCAACCACTTGACCGATTTGACCCAAAATGGTATGGGCTGATAGCTGCGGGCCGTGGCTACACAGCGCATTTTGTTGTACGCCGATTGGAGCCCTGTGGGCCAAGAAATGGTAGGTGTCGTATATAAGGAAGTACGACACCGGTGTCGTATATAACACTACTGTTTCCGTAACACTCCTCTTCAATGCAAGTTGCTCTGAATTGTACCAAACTACAGTGATGAAAATCAAAGCAAGCAAGTACTCGTTTCCTGCGTAACGTAACTCGTTCGTTTCATGCGTTTCAACCACTTACGTGCCAAGTGATATTTCATGTCTTAACACGTGTTAAAATACCTTCATGCGCTTGCAAAGAGTACCTGCTACTATTTCTTGCATAAACCAAAGTACCTTAACTTTCAATCCTACATGGCTTGTTCAACCAGCGTTGGTGCGAGGCCGAATGTTGACTACCGAAAAAAATCGCTGATTCACACAAACAGAACAGATAAAAAAACACTTCGTAACACACAAACACGATTTCTTGAACTTGTTGCTGATGAAGTCGTTGACGTTGAAACTGCTGATGATGTCCAGCAGGTGTTTGAGCCGATGCTTGTTAAGATGCTTTGTCCCGATGTCGGCAATGTTGCTGTCCGTCGGGATGTAATGGATCGATATCCGTCCTTCAGATATTAGCTCTCGGATGTAAAAGAAGCGAAGTGCGATATGTTTTGTCCTCGAGCTGAAGGAGCGGTTTCCAAGCGCGTGCAGCGTCGCCGTGTTGTCGCAGTACAGCGGCACTTGGGCAAACTCCTTACCGAGCCCTAGCTCAGTTAGAATGTTAGAACAGAACACTGCTTCCTTCATGGCTAGCNGCTGATGATGTCCAGCAGGTGTTTGAGCCGATGCTTGTTAAGATGCTTTGTCCCGATGTCGGCAATGTTGCTGTCCGTCGGGATGTAATGGATCGATATCCGTCCTTCAGATATTAGCTCTCGGATGTAAAAGAAGCGAAGTGCGATATGTTTTGTCCTCGAGCTGAAGGAGCGGTTTCCAAGCGCGTGCAGCGTCGCCGTGTTGTCGCAGTACAGCGGCACTTGGGCAAACTCCTTACCGAGCCCTAGCTCAGTTAGAATGTTAGAACAGAACACTGCTTCCTTCATGGCTAGCGCCGATGCAATCAGCTCTGCCTCCATGGTAGACATGGCAGTTGGACCTTGTATCCCCGACTTAAAACTCACCGGTGCATTGCCTAACATCGTCAAGTAGCAAGAGGAAGACTTTCCGTTGTCCGGGTTGTTCGCCCAGTTGGATTCCGAAAAGGTCGCAAGCTTGGAGCCTCTACTCTTGTATGTGATTCTAAAGTCCGTGGTTCCGGCCACATGGCAAAGAGTGTGTTAAGCTTCCACCATATGGATCTTGCTGGGTTGCGCCATTGGGCGGGCCAGCTGGCCCATGGCGTACATGACGTCGTAGCGGAGCACTTGAGCGATGTACATCAGACATCCCACGATGCCCTGATAACGTCGCGTTTCCTCCTCGTCTAGCAGCGTGTCCTCTGGTTGCTTGTTGGAGAGCTCCGAACCGTAGCCAGGCGTGCTGATTGGTTTGCATTCCGACATCCCGAACCTCTCTAAGATGGACTTGCTGTACGCTTCCTGGGAAATCGTCAGTGTACCTCGGTTGCAGTCCTTCTTAATATCCATGCCCAAGACAAGTTTCACCTCGCCCATGTTTGTCATCTTGAACCTTTGTTTTTATTTGTTCTTGATCATCAAGATGACGTTGGCGCTGTTTCCGGCAGGAAGAAGATCGTCCACGTAGAANCCATATGGATCTTGCTGGGTTGCGCCATTGGGCGGGCCAGCTGGCCCATGGCGTACATGACGTCGTAGCGGAGCACTTGAGCGATGTACATCAGACATCCCACGATGCCCTGATAACGTCGCGTTTCCTCCTCGTCTAGCAGCGTGTCCTCTGGTTGCTTGTTGGAGAGCTCCGAACCGTAGCCAGGCGTGCTGATTGGTTTGCATTCCGACATCCCGAACCTCTCTAAGATGGACTTGCTGTACGCTTCCTGGGAAATCGTCAGTGTACCTCGGTTGCAGTCCTTCTTAATATCCATGCCCAAGACAAGTTTCACCTCGCCCATGTTTGTCATCTTGAACCTTTGTTTTTATTTGTTCTTGATCATCAAGATGACGTTGGCGCTGTTTCCGGCAGGAAGAAGATCGTCCACGTAGAACGTCAAGTAGACTTGAACATCGTCGTGGTCGTACAGGTAGACGCAAGTGTCAGACTTGAGCGAAACGAAACCTATCTCAACAAGGAAAGGGTCGATGGTGTGGAACCAGTTGCTGGGGCTTTGGGCCAGCCCGTAGAGGCTCTCCTGTAGCTGCATCACTAGATCACCTCCATCCTTGTTTTTGACCTCGAAGCCAGGTGGTTGTTCGACGAACACGTTCTCCAGGATGTCAACGTAGAGGAAGGCTGTGAACACGTCTATTTGATCCAACTCCAGGTTGAATTGCACGGCTATGCACGCTAACATCCGAATGCTCTGTAACCTGCACACCGGAGCGTAGGTGCTGCCGCAGCCCAGTCCAGGCACTTGGTTCCAGCCTTGCGCCACTAGACGCCCCTTGAAGGAGCCATCTGCCTTCCGCTTGAACACCCATTTGGACGTTGTCCGCTTCCTCCCTGGGGGAACTGCCGTGGGCGGGACGAGCTTGTAAACTTGACGTTCCTTGAGACTCGCGATCTCGCGCTCTGCAGCTGTGTTCCACTGCGCTCCGTCCGGCCCTTGCCTCTTGGATCGTTCGTGGAACATCCGGTTGAGATGCCCCCATAGCGTACGCGTATTCCGTGAAACCAAAGGAGCCGTCCCTATGGGCGACGTCAGGCAACCCCCCTTTCGCGGTAAATGCGTAGGAGATACGACGGAGCTGGCGGATGGTCTTTGCGTTGGGCACGCGCGAACTAGACCTTGTGATAGGAGGTGTCGACGTGGACCCTCGTCCACCACGAGAACCACTTCCACTTGCCGAGCCGCGACCTCCACGCGGCGTGATGCCTCCCCGCGCAGATCCTCCTCGCGAAGGTCCACCACGAGCACCTAGGCCACCACGGGACAAACCGCGCCCGCGCGCAGATCCACCCCGCGGTACAGCACAAGAGGGAGCAGGACCAGAAGGCGATGATCCTAGCGGCGTAGGACCAGGTGACGAACCAGGAGGAGACGCACCGTCATCCGTTCCAGGGGGTTTTACTCCCCCAGGCGAGGCAGGGCTACCTCCCGTAGGTGTACCACCAGAAGTCCTAGGCGCGTCGTCGGTGGGAGGAGTTCCTGCAGGACTAACCCCAAGGTCACCGTTGGTTGTCTCACGGATTTTCTCGAGAAGCTCAATCACAGGTATGTCCCCGACGTCATGATCAGGAGATAGCGAAGCAACTGAGTGGTCNACCACCAGAAGTCCTAGGCGCGTCGTCGGTGGGAGGAGTTCCTGCAGGACTAACCCCAAGGTCACCGTTGGTTGTCTCACGGATTTTCTCGAGAAGCTCAATCACAGGTATGTCCCCGACGTCATGATCAGGAGATAGCGAAGCAACTGAGTGGTCGAAAGTGTAGTTTCGCACGTCTCTTACCATGTCGTCGTGGTTGTCGTACGTGAACTCCCCGTCGTCGAAGACACCCTCATCCAACGCAGGCGAAACGGGAGGTGTCTCAATGAAGACAACATTTCGACTCACCCGTACACGTCGCGTCTCAGAGTTCTAGATCCGGTACGACTTGCTGTCCGTGCTGTATCCTTCAAGGCGTCCTTCCCAATCACGGTGCTCCAGCTTCCTGGTGTGGGTCTCTTCGTGCACGGACGCCCTTGACCCTATCACCCGAAGGTGACCAAGGTAGGCATCCTTCCCGTAGAGCGCCTTGTACGGCGTCCCGTTTTGCAGGGCTGCATGAGGAACCCGGTTGCTCAGGTAGATTACCATCTGGATCAGCTCCCCCCAAATGAAGTTCGGTACAGTTGAGTCAGCGAGCAGACAGCGCACGACATTCAAAATCGTCCGACCCGCAAGCTCGTTGGCTCCGATTTGCTGAGGGGTGTTCGGAGAGGCGAACTCCAGCTTCACGCCGATGTCTTGACAGTACTGACGGAATTCCGCACTCGTGAATTCTGTGCCCGGATCCCCGCGGAGGCAATGAATGCGTTCGCCGGTAGGAACCACGGTCCCTTTGTTGAACAACGCGAGGGAGTCTACAGAACAGGTCTTGTCCTTCATGAGAACTATCTCCGCCCACTGGTCTGTCCACGAACTTGGTGGCGTACTTGAATCCGCCCAACGCTGTAGGTTTGAAGGGGCCAAGGGTGTCGACGGAAACGTGCTGGAACGGGCGCAGGACACCGTAGGTGGTCTGCTTTGGGTGAGGTTGTTGTGCGCTCTTTCCGAGCGGGCAGACACTACAGTCCTTCACGTCTCCGGTGTAGTCGACGCCGTTGACCGGTTCTTTCCTTAGAACATCCAAGCTCTTGCCTTTGATGTGCCCCATGCGCCGGTGCCAGAGATCAGCGGACTCCACAATCAAGGCGCATCAGGGGCGTCTTCGAGGATCGACGGGCCCCCAGGTTCACCATTTAGCGTTTTTCCTCGATGGAATAGATGCGTTTTCCGGTCATGGTGTCCACCCCGAGGGTCTGCATGGGGATGACTACGTCCCCCGACTCCAACCTGGGATTCTCCGGATGAAACAACGTCGCCGCCCCCTTTAGCATCGCCAATGTCACGGAGAAGAGGTTGGTGCCCAGCCCTGGTACCAAGATGACGCGAAAGGAGACGTGCCGGTCGTTCCCATTGTCGTCCCTGACGGCGCCGAAGATAGTCCCCGTCGCAACGCCTTTGAGGACATGCTGGCCCGCGGCGACGATCGTGTGTGGGACCCGAAGGTGTTCGACGTCGCGCATGTGAGCCCGCAATCCTGGTGTAAGCCAAGGGTGGAGGTACTTGTCTGTTGCTCCACTGTCAACAACCATCCGGATGGACGATCCGTCGGAGCGAAAAGGAGCAAGCGACAACTCTGCATGAGTCGCCATGAACGCACCGAAGAACCCTGAAGGCAGCCGGTGGTCTTGCGCACTCGACGCTGATGAGGCAGATGCAGGTGCCGCCTGTGTGGCGGCAGACGCCGCCGGAGGTGGCTGGGAAGAGGCAGACGACGAGGTTGCCTCTGCCAAGGAAGTTCCGAGAGCGTTGAAGGAGAACCCGAACGAAGTCGGCTCTGACGGAGCCTGTTGCGCCACCGCCGGAGACGATTGCGCCAGGTGAGCACTCCCGATATTGGGGAGTTGCAGAAATTTGGCATGGCCAGCTGACTGCAGGGGCGCCAGGTTAGCCGCCAACCCTTCACCCTCCTTTTGCTTGTTTTCCTGGATCTCCTTTTGCTCCTGGCACTCAGCATCGCTGTGTGTCTTGGTGTTGTGGTAGGAGCATCACTTTGGCTGTGCACTCCCACTACTTCCTCGCTTGTTGGGTCCCTTCTTCTTGCCCTGCCTAGGACGGATCTTTTGGACCTGTTGGGGACAATCACGCTGGAAGTGTCCGTACTCCTTGCATCGGTGGCACAGGTCGGTGTCGGAAGCGACAGCCATCGTAGCCCCCTGGCCTGAGACCACGGGGCCCGACGCGTTGCGCGACTGCTGATCCACAAAAAAGCGGTTAGCCGTCGCCTGGAGACTGTCTACTGAAGTAAATTGTCGTGGTAGTGCATCTCCCTGATGAACTTGAACTCCGGGGTCTTGGTCAGGACTGAGAGCATGATGTCCAGGTAGACTGGGTCCTACCCTTCCTCCCCCAGCACCTCAAGGCGAAGCTTGAGATCCCACCCCTTTGTGAAGCAGTCGATGGGATCACCGCCCACAAGGTGTCGCAGGTTGAACAGCTCGTTGTGACACGCACGCCGAGCTTCCTGGGTTTGAGCATCGAAACGCTTGTTGAGAGCTCTCCAGGCCGCCGTCCTATCCCCCATGTCACTATCCGTCGCCCCTTCGTGAGTGCAGACAGTGAGCTGCGCAGACCCGGAGGTTACCAAGAAGAGGAGGGAGAATAGGCGACCGTTGGCCTTGTCCTACTCGGCCACATCCTCCGCGTTGGCCGCGGTCGCCGAAGGACGCGCGTTTCAGTTGAGGGCGGGGAAAAGCTCCGGCGCGTGGAGGATGATCGCTTGTCGAAGCTTGATCTTTCACTCGCGAAAACCCGCATGTCCCGCGCATTTCCCAATGGAGTCCTGCATGCGATGGAGCCCGGAGGTCGATGATTCCGCCATCACTGAAACCAGGGTCACACGCCGAGCGTTATCCGGTTTTCAGCACGCGTAAGACGCCTCGATTACCTGCAAAGGTTCGACGCGCCAGAACAATACGGTGCTATGCTACACAGAGGTAGGCTTGGTGCAGGTCGCAGCTTTGTAGCGTACAACCCACGTCCAGCAGCAGCAATGTAGTGTCCGCTCGGACTACTTCGCTACTACGAGCACAGCTATGACCTACCGCAGGTGGCCAGGCTGCGGTTTTGCGGCGACGAAGTTGCCAACTCCGGCCTCGTCCAGCAGGCACACGGGTCAGATGTATTGCTTAGACTTGCTACGCGTCTTTCAGTGCAGAGTTGTGGCTGCTGCACGGATGCAAACAGGCCTGGTCAGATCCTCAACCTACACTCGCACCGGTATACACACAGTACGCGTACGATGACTTGGACAGACCTACCTCGCGTATAGCATAACGCGCAGGTGAATTCACATGATCGGATCAGGTGGGTGTAGCTGTAGTAGCAGTCGGCTACCAGCTAGCAGTCGTATCCTCAGCCTGCACACGCTACCAAGCTTGGCAACTCAGCACGTGGGAGATATCTTGGACAGACTATACGCCTCGCGAAGGACCACGCGCAGGCGATTTTGGTAGTCAGTTAAGGACACACAGAACACACCAAGGACGGCACTCCGCACGCAGAACCAACTACCTGCACAACTATATTCGCCGACCGAACTCAACGCCTAGAAATTATGCCCCCGAATGCTTGACACAGTATCGTACCGAAATGTGCAGCCAAGAACCCAGGTGATCAGTCCGGGTCCAACNAGACTATACGCCTCGCGAAGGACCACGCGCAGGCGATTTTGGTAGTCAGTTAAGGACACACAGAACACACCAAGGACGGCACTCCGCACGCAGAACCAACTACCTGCACAACTATATTCGCCGACCGAACTCAACGCCTAGAAATTATGCCCCCGAATGCTTGACACAGTATCGTACCGAAATGTGCAGCCAAGAACCCAGGTGATCAGTCCGGGTCCAACAAGCAAGCGGGTTGACTCAGTGTGACCTCCAGCAGAAAGCAGACTCCGACGGTAGCTTCCCGCGGAGAACACCCAAGCTGGAAGATGTGTGTGTGCTCCACAGTGCTCGACATCAGTAGAAGACGCAGTCGCCGCAGGCCTCCAGTCACACACAGACGAGGCTCATAACCTATTATGGATATTGTGTAATAACCTGGCACGGTGGTGTAGAGGCTGTGTCGTCGACGTTAGTCGAGGTGATGACACGTGCGAGAGGGTAGCCTGGAAGACGAGAGTCCTTCCACGGAGCGAAGAAGATGTTGAGATACTGGAACACTGGCGCTTTGTTGGCCAATACAATCCGGAAGGATCACACGAGAGAGTGAGCTACTCGGCTACCAAGCACCACGCAGAGAATCCTGCGAGAGTAATTCCTCCGCATACACATACTTGNGATGACACGTGCGAGAGGGTAGCCTGGAAGACGAGAGTCCTTCCACGGAGCGAAGAAGATGTTGAGATACTGGAACACTGGCGCTTTGTTGGCCAATACAATCCGGAAGGATCACACGAGAGAGTGAGCTACTCGGCTACCAAGCACCACGCAGAGAATCCTGCGAGAGTAATTCCTCCGCATACACATACTTGCGTTACATTCGAACCGACATTCGAACCGACACATATGAGATCTACGATATACAAGAGCAGTGCTACTGAACATTGACTAATACTGGCTATTTTCAAGGAGTGAAGCCGTGGGCAGTAGCTTGCTCCTAGAGATAGATCAGATGAAGGTTCTGTCGTTGACACGCTTGTCCACGACCACGTTGAGATGGGAAAGTTGCTTGTTATTGCTGAGAGACGATNCTAGAGATAGATGAAGGTTCTGTCGTTGACACGCTTGTCCACGACCACGTTGAGATGGGAAAGTTGCTTGTTATTGCTGAGAGACGATCAGCAAGGGTCTGAGATGAAGTGGGGATCCAGCTTCATCTCAGGGGGTACACAGAGTAGACAAGTCTAAGGGGGTAGGGGTCAGAAGGTTATACCTCCTGACCGACCCGCATCCTATCAACAATAAGGTGTACCCTATTCATGCTAGCAGCCACACTCCTTAACACTAGCCCACCCTGAAAATCATATATGCAGATTATATACTCAAATCAATGCTCAAATCCTAAAGCTACAGTAAGATTTAGCTGATGCTTTATGATCATGAATCGAAGATATTACTCTTCACAAAACATCCAAAAGGAGGGTGAGTTGTAGAAATATCCCGAATCAATCCCCCACACCATCATTGAGATGAAGAATGCGAACGGTCACGAGACGGAACATCGACATCTCAATGACAACGCTTGAAGGGATAAAGCTACGAAGAACATATATTGCGGCAGAGCACGCTATCATCCTGAACAGACGACGACAGGGGAAAAAAAATCAATGTCCAGACGCCACACACCACTCTTTTACGTGCACCCGCGCGTATCACCGCTGGAGGAATGAGGGTGACTACCCGAGAGAGTCTAAAATACGGTGACGAAACTCTCAAAACCCAAACAAATTTCCGAACGAATACGGCCTTTGGTACTGGACGCGACGCAAAGGGAAAACTCAACGCAATCTAGGACGTTAGCGAAGGGCAGGAGAAAAGAAGGACAGGCAAAGGCACGGAGAACGATTGCCAGCGTGCCAGGGTAGCCAACTCGGATAAGGAGACGGCAGGGGCAAGACCTAATGATTAACAAGTATGCAAAGCACCAGCGATTAAAGCAAGAGAGGCGGTCGACGAACTGCGCCATGGCTCGCTGGTGATACGCGTCATTGGAAGACATAAAACACAGAAAGTCGTAGAGATTCACACAACAAGACGACTCACTCAGGGGCGCTACTGTGATGAAGGCGTCGCCCAAAGGTGGCGATGATGGAGACGAAGCAGAACGAAGTGTGGGTGACGGCGCAGATCCATGGGAGAAGGCGACGCCACTGGATGGAATCCCGAAGCACCAAGTGTATGCAACCTTTTGCGGCACGATGGACTAAAACAAAAAACTTAACACATTAGTTGGCAAACAGGCGAACCAGGAAACGCGGGGAACTCGGTGTCCAAGTGTTCCGAGGCAAACATCACCGACGAAACTTGGGGAACTATTTTTCCAAGTGTTCAGAGGCAAACAACACCGACGAAACTTCGGAGGGAGCTTGTCGAGAGAACCAAAGACCAACAACAACAAAAAATATATTAAGCAAAGGCGAGAGAGAACAGACATCCAGGTCGCGGCAGTTCACTGATTCAGATGAATACAGGCAACAAGGAAGAAGGATCACTCGACATTGCGTGTCTTGAGGCGGCGTTGCCCCAGCGTCCAAAACAAATAAGCCAACGAAAGAAAACAGACAAGCCAGAAAAACAAAACAAAACAAAACGGAAGGTGACAGAAAAAAAAAACAAAAGCAAAACGTCGGCGAGAAGGATGGCACAAAAGACCAAAATAGGCCGACTGGTATATGATAACGACGACGCTAACAAGAGATGGTGGGAACAGCCGACGGTAAGGAGTCAGCAAGGAGCGGAGTGCGACCACGGCTGTCGCCCGGAGGGCGCGAACGATGTTTCTCTAAACACCATGATCCACAGACGGCGTCCAAGGCGGTGGAGTAGAGATGCGCAGGCAGAGGGAGAACGCTTGGGCCCGGGTCATCCAAAAGTCGAACGATGTACGAGCCGCCCTGATGAGCACCAATACGTCCGGCCCACCACAATCCATCACGGGCCTTGTACCACAGCCGCGCGCCAACAGGGAGGGGCGAAGTGCTGAAACGACGAAGCCAAGTCGTGTTAAGCACAAGATCAGCCCCAGGAGGCAAATTGCGTCCTCCACGATTCCGGGCTAGCTCCCGCTGTGCCGCGCGAGTCCGATGATCGAAGACCGAAAGCGGGAGTCGCGGGATGCGTCCGATGTGGATCTCGTTTGGCGCTAATCCAGTAGACTGGTTCAAGGAATTGTTCTAGGCAAACTCAACGTGCGGGAGATGTATGTCCCAATCGTTTTGCTGTTCGTTGAAGACCACCGCAAGCATCTGGGCCATCGTGTGGTTGACGCGTTCCGTGCCGCCGTTGGTCTGTGGGTGGTAGGAGCTGGTGGTGACCTTCTTGATCTTCATCACCTCGTAGATCGCCATGGAGAGCTTCGAGCAGAAATGCAGTCCGTTGTCCGACAATAACGTAGTCGGACATCCCCACTTGGTCATGTATTGGTTGACGAAGATGTGAGCCGTCCCTCTCGCCGTAAATTCCGCCGCTGTAACTGCGAACATGTCGGCTCTCCGACTGAAACGGTCTGTGAACAACAAAATGTAGGAGTTGCCCTTGGCAGTCACTGGCAGAGGTCCGAAGAAGTCGACGCCGACGACCGTACCAGGCCCCTGCGGCAATGGCATAGCGATGACGGGCCACCGAGCAGTCTGACGTGAAGTCTTGCGAGCTTGACACACCAAACACGCCCGAAGCCACCGGCGCACGGAACGATCCAAACCAATCCTCCAGTAGAAGCGCTCGAGCAGACGCTGTGTACGATGGACGCCGAGATGGAATGACGCGGCTGTATGGCATGCATGCAGGACCCACGGACGCATTACCATTGGCACGTAGACACGGGGCACGCCAGTACCCGGCAGACGAGTGGTCCTGCCGCCAGAGCGCCCAACCGGCGACGTCGCCGATTTATGTACGAGGAGGGTGATGTTGTCATCGGTCGTGTGCAGTCTGGTTTTCGCCGCCAACACAAGCACATCATCTAGCCGAGGGGAGCGAAGAGGAGCACAGAGAGTGAGCAAGCCCGGAGGGGGTGGGGAGGGAGAACCGCAAGACAAAAAACGCATAGCCACCACACACTCGCTCTCCCGCTGCTGTTCCCTAGCCCAGTCCACAGTGCTGAAACTCTGAACACAAGCCCGCAAGTGGGAGGTGTCCAAATCAGAAGATTCCGAAAAAAAATCAGGCGATCCAACGGAAGAGGCGGAAGAAGGCGAAGCCTCAGCGACTGGGGCAGCCGCAGTCCGTGGTGATGTCCGCGAAGGGGACATCGTGAGTGGCGAAGTCCCGGGCGAAACCTGTAGAGAAGGCTAAGGCGGGGATGCAGGGCACGCCACTGACGGCGAAGACACCGGTGGCGCAAGAGCAGTCGACGAAAACGCCGATGCCGGCGTTGCGGATGGCGGCAGCTCTGCGCGCCGCCAGGCCCACCAGAACAAACAGCTCGCCCTCCTGCTAGGGCGACGGGCAGGCGACGATGTCCGAGGGACGATGGTAGCCGGCGGCTGGCGTCCGAAATAAGCGGGACCGGTGACGGTGCCTCCGGAAACAGCGGTAGTTTTGGCCCGAGTCCGTGAAGAAATGAGCGGTCCCTGCTCCGGAAGCGAAGACAAAACGTGCACATGTCTAGTCGCCAAAGACGCGGCAGGAGACATCACGCGGGACGCATCAGATGTCAATGGGGAAGCAGGCCCTGAAGATGCGAGAACAGGCGAGACGATGAAGACCCCCGGGGACCGCCGAGAATTCTCGCAGGCAATCGTTGAGTCCGTCAGAGCATCCAACCGACGCGGGTGATGTCGGCGAAAATCCCCAAAATCGGAGGGCTGCAACGCTGGGGGCGAAAAGACTCCTGCCGTGCAAGGAGGGCGGAGCCCACCCAAACCGACCTCCGGTGTAGACGACGAGTGATAGTTGCGCCCGCAAGCCCAAATGAGGAAAACACCCGCTTGATCGACACCATCAATGCAGTCGGGGCCGGTTTTGTCAGTGTCTTGTGCTGGTAAAGGCAACCGCAAAAGAAAATCCGCGTTGCCGTTTGCGTAACCTTTCCGATATTTCAGGGTGTAGGTGAAGTTGGACAGAAATTCGAGCCATCGTTGCACCCTAGCGTTGTGTTCCCCAACCTTGCCAATGCTCTCCAAGGCTTTGTGGTCCGAATAGATGATGAACTTGGTCGACCACAGATAACCGCGAAGGCGTTTGATGGCCCAAACAATGCCACCAGCCTCCAGATCCAAAACGGTCCAGTTACGCTCCGCAGGAAGAGTAGCGCGGCTGATGTACACGATGGGTCCCACCGAGCCATCGAGCTGTTCTTGTTCCAAGGAGGCGCCAAAACCGTCGATACACGCGTCAGAACACAAACCAAGAGGACGGCTGTTGTCCTCGATTGCTGCCCAATCCGGGAAGACCAAAATCGGGGGGCGGGCGAGTTCGCTTAACAACGTTTTGACAACCTTGACCATGCCCGGGGTGTACTCGAACGGGACAACTTGTTTGAGAAGAGAGTTGAGAGGCCGCACCTTGGTGGCGAAATTCTTGAGTAATTTCCGGTAGTAACTGAGTCCACCGAGAAGGCTCCGAAGCTGCTTAACATTCGTCGGCGGCGGCATGTGCGTGAGCGCCCTAACCTTGACGCCATCAGGGCTAAGACCTGCCGGAGAGAGGGTGTGACCGAGAAGTTGGCGTGCGTGGCGCCAACGCGAGCCTGACGCCAAGTTTCAAGGAGTGAAGCCGTGGGCGGCAGCTTGCTCCTAGAGATAGATGAAGGTTCTGTCGTTGACACGCTTGTCACGACCACGTTGAGATGGGAAAGTTGCTTGTTATTGCTGAGAGACGATCAGCAAGGGTCTGAGATGAAGTGGGGTTCCAACTTCATCTCAGGGGGTACACAGAGTAGACAAGTCTAAGGAGGTAGGGGTCAGAAGGGTATACCTCCTGACCGACCCGCATCCTATCAACAATACGGTGTACCCTATTCATGCTAGCAGCCACACTCCTTAACACTTGTCTATGTGCTAACATTTCCATGACAGAGGAGTCTTTCTACTACATATGTTTGTGTTGCTGGTTTCCCAGAGTGAGGTGGAGGCCGTTGCGGAGGGAGCCAACGAGACTGTCAGGTTATTCGGTCTCCGCTCGTCTGATCGCCTTTTTTCCTCCTCTGGTTTTCAGTGGCGCCGCTTCGTTCGTCTTTTACCATCCCTCTCAGTCATGTGCATGTGCGTCTAGTTGCGACTAGTGATCTCCGCGCGCGATCGTGGTGTACACCCACGCGAGCAGCAACACCACCAACGACTCACGCTCAGTCAACATATCTTCAGGCGCAAGGAAATAGAGCCAGCTGCCTTCGACACTTTCATTTCCACGGACCATATAACAACCTGCTAGTGTAGCACAGCAGTTGGTGTTGGAAACAACGTCCAGTGCAAAACTGGACTGCTCACATATCTAGCAAACAGGTCTGTACCTGCCCCCACCAGGTCGTCCAGCTCTTCTGAGAGAGAAAAAGGACCCCCCCTGCATGTACATACCGTATGTACTGCTGTAACGTATGTATGTATAGACTACATGTAGACGAGGGAGAGAGAAAACGATGCCTTGAGTTCTCCGGCAAATCTTGGCTGCAGGTGAAACTCTCTATAGAAGCGTCCCAAAGCGCACAAATCAAACCAGACGAAGGCACAGGTGCTGAAACGACCGTCGGAGTCCTCATACGTCAGCCAGTGTGACGTGGGGGCCTGCAAAAGACAGAACTCAGGTGTTCAATGCGACGGCGCGGAAGTATATGCCACAAATTTGTACTGAATGAAGTGCCCACGGACGGTGTGTCGAGTGCGATAACCTACAGAGCAATGCCGTCAGACATACCCATAACTGGTATGTTCCAGGTCAAGCAATCGTCCATCAAGAATTAATTCATCATAGGGGCAATCGCCTAAAAAACAGAGGGAAATTCGCGCAATTTATGTGTGCGATGTCGCGCTCAAATGCCCGCTTTGCAACAGGCTTTGACAGCTAGGACTCTTGGCGGCGTCTTCTGCTTGTCCACAACCCCGTTGAGGTGACTGCCGATCAATCATTTCTCGCATACATAGCTTGGACATGGCTGACATGTACCAAAACACACATACAACCGAAGTGCAACCATCTTGTGTTGTATATGTCCGCGACTTGGAAGGGAGAGACTGAATATCGCTTGTATTAGAAACGCAGAAGCAAGAGAAGAGAAGAAGA